CCTTCGTAAGAGACGGGTCCTTTTTGAAATTACGGTGCGGAACGGGTTTCCGTTGATCAGGTTTCCTTGAAAAGCCCTCTTTCCTTTCATCCTTTTCAACGCGCACTGCCCTGCTATGCAACTTTCGGCGAGTATAATACTCCTCAGCTAACTCCGCTGCCTTATTTAACTGTACTTCCCCAAGTCTGTCCTGCAGCCAAAGTCTGACATTATCCTCGATGCAGCGGTAGAATTGCTCCAATGCCACGCATTCCACCACTTTATCGCGGTCGTCATAAACACCTTCGCCCTTGAGCCATTCAATTAAATCGGCCTTAAGACGAAACGCGAAGTCAACGTGTGACTCATTCCCCTTTTCAGCATACCGGAACCTTTGCCTGAAAGCCTCGGGTGACAACTTATAACGTCTCAAGAGCACTTCCTTAACCTCGTCATAGCTCTCAAACGCTTCCCTCGACAAGCAAGTTATCGCGTCGGACACTTCGCCGGGAAGAAGAGCTAGCAGGTTCCGCGCCCAAAGAGACCGCTCCAAAGCGTTTCGCTCACAGACGTGTTCAAACTTGATGAGATACTTCGCCATGTCCTCGCCTACTACGAACGGTGGCAGTTGGTCACGAATTCTAAAACCGCTGACCTGAATCGTCGGAGAAGCTACGCTAGGCGCCTGCGAACACTGTAGGATTGCCAATTCTAGTCGTTTCATCTCAAGGCGCTCCTGTCTCTCGGCCTCCTCGCGACGTTCGCGCCTTTCAGCTTCTTCACGTTCGCGAGCTTCGCGCCTTTCAGCTTCTTCGCGAGCTTCGCGCCTTTCAGCTTCTTCACGTTCGCGAGCTTCGCGCCTTTCAGCTTCTTCGCGAGCTTCGCGCCTTTCAGCTTCTTCACGTTCGCGAGCTTCCCGCCTTTCAGCTTCTTCGCGAGCTTCGCGCCTTTCAGCTTCTTCGCGAGCTTCTACTTCTCGCCTTTCAGCCTCCTCACGGCGTGCTTTAATATCCACCCAGGCCTCATCGACTTCCTCAGCCGACACTCCCTCATCCTTCATGATCTCAAGGATCGCTTGCTTTCGTTTTGCACGGCCCAAAGTAATGCCGAGTTCCTCACAAATTTCGATGAGTTCCTTCACTTTAAGGTTCTCCATCGTTCACACTAGCCTCTTGCTGTTTGCCCCTGTTAACAATTTACTTGCCGTACCCACTATAAGTCAACTAGCAAGACGCGCAAGCAATTTTTTCACACTCCCGTGTTTACCCCCTCTGCATTAACTTTGGTTTCAAAGCGCTTCGACTTGGCTTGAAACGATCAAAGCTCCCTTCAATGCTTCACACAGCCCTTCTCTAAACTACTACAACCTGAGCTAGAGTAGTCTGGTGAACTGAGGGGAAAACATCAGGCACTCACCGCATCGATGTCGCTGACGCCGGCCGATCCCGCAGCTGCCAACCACTGTTGCGAATGACGGACCGATCCCGCCGCTGCCACCACTGTTGCGAACGACGGACCGATCCCGCCGAAGCCACCACTGTTGCGAAAGACGGGGACGCCAACACGGCCCCGAAGGCGCCACTGCTTTCAACTCCGCCGGGAAGGTCACCAGCCGTTTGGTAGCGTATGTTTCTCAGCCCGCGACTGCTTCTGCGCAGAGCTGATAAGACGAGCGGACGAGACGACGGTGAGTTAAACAAGGTTTATGTACAGCATATTTACAGAGGCGTTACAATTTCGGCACTGGGGCCGACAGAGACTCGAAGAGCCGAGCTCTCCTCTCTAACACATAGGTCAACTTTTCGCCTAAGACCGCCGACTCACACACATGTCGGCTCTCCGACATGGGGACTCCTCTCTCATAGGACTGCCGATCGCGACGCGCCGCAGGGCTTCTTTTATTTACACCGGGTCCAACCAAAATGTCCAATCAGAAGCGCCGCTGGTCGTCAGGGCAGATTCCCCCAATGGGGTTGCCGCGCCATGCGTCAGACCACCAGACACGAGGACGCCGGCTCGCTGTCACGTGCGCAGCTGACTCACTGCACGTGGGCCAGAGGGGCGCCGCGCGTGTTCACGCCGTCGAGTTGATCGCGCCAGGCGGACTGCGGGCTGGCCTTGACCCAGATTGCCCTTTTCAGAGGCACGGACGTTTGACGAGGACTCGCTGGCATAACAACAGCTAGAAATAAAAACAATACGGCAAGTGGCAACAGGCGAAGAGGGGTGAGGAAGCGAGCCGAGGTGACCGAGGGGGGTCGGCATAATAATAAAAAACGGAAGAGATCCAACGGGTAAGGAGGCACCAGGTTTCGGTTAGTGGGACTGTAGTGGATGAATGTAGGGGGGTGCGTTTATAATGTGAGAAAAAAAAATGGCAGCATATCCATGGAGTGAATGATGAAAAGTGGGGCGAAGAATTCGTCCGTCCATTCGTTCTTGCTTCCGTCCGTCCATGCGTCCATCAGTGTTACCGTCCATGCGTCCATCAGCCCGTCCATGCGTGCATCTGTTCGTGCGTCCGTCCCTGCGTTCGTCCATGCAGCCGCCCCTGCGTCCGTTCATGCATCCATCCATACATCTGTCTATGTGTCTGTTTGTCCATCTATTCAACACTCCAAGTACCACCATCTCGCATCTTTTCATCATATATTCCCCAAATAGAAGCACCGCCATCCAGCGGACATTCCAAGGACTAAACGAGAGGTGGCACACGCACACTTTCTTACGGCTTGCGCTTCGGGTCCACTTCCCACCTTTAACCACCTCGAGTTCATGGTATATACTAGTTCACTGTATTCATGGCACTGCGGCCGAACGCTCGCTAAACCTTTCGAAAACCAAGGAGGTTACGCCCAGCGAGTATGGCGTAGCAAACTTTTTCAGTCAGATAGTGCTCAATGTACATGCCAATGGCTGCTAATGGGAAATGAGAGGCGGATAATTCGGCTTTTACTTTCTTACGGCTTGCGCTTCGTATCTACTTCCCATTTTTAACCACCTCGAGTTCATTCATGATATATACAAGTTCATTGTATTCATGGCACTACGGCCGAACGCTCGCTAAACCTTTCGAAAAACCAAAGAGGTTACGCCCAGCGAGTATGGCGTAGCAAACTTTTTCAGTCAGATAGTGCTCAATGTACATGCCAATGGCTGCTAATGGGAAATGAGAGGCGGAGAATTCGGCTTTTACTTTCTTACGGCTTGCGCTTCGTATCTACTTCCCATTTTTAACCACCTCGAGTTCATTCATGGTATATACAAGTTCATTGTATTCATGGCACTGCGGCTGAACGCTCGCTAAACCTTTCTAAAGCTAAGGAGGTTACACCCGGCGAGTATAACGTAGCAACCCTTTCTTGTCAGATAGTGCTCAATGTACATGCCAATGGCTGCTAATGGTGATCGCAGCCTGCGCGTTAACTAAAAGCCGAATGCTCCTGTCTCTCATTCCCCATTAGCAGCCATTGACATGTACATTGAGCACTATTTTTTATTGTTCAACAACGCACAGAAGAAGTCTCTCACCGGCACCACCTTGGAGGTCAAAGTGTTATACTTGTTACATACTACGGGGGACGAACGGGTGCCGCTCTAAGGAGCTTCGCCCCTAAAAAATCTAAATTTTGATTACTAAGTTGGGGGGTACGTTCATTAAGCGAGTGCGTTCGTTGCGCAAGTGAATATAGCAGTCCCAGTTACACAGCCATGTTGCTCAAGAATCCCCCAGATTTTTCTTCCTTTTTTTTGTCTCCTCTTCTAGTTTGTTTCGTCTGCATGCACTTCTTTTCCCACGGCCAGGGCGAGACTACCCTCTCCCTTCTAGCTTGTCTGCAAGAGTTTACGGCAGGATCATTACAAATTTTATTTCATCTTGTGCAGCTGCACTACAAGGAACTTGAGCGCATACTGATTTATGTGGAACGCTAAGCAGTACAGTCGAACACCTTCATAAGAGACAGATGGGTATAAGAGACACCGGTGAGCCTACATTGAAATAGCTGTTGACAAGAAAAAGCGTACGTGGTACCTTGCTTATGAGAGACACCTAATATAAAAGACAAGAATTGCTCCTCGGTGCATGTCTTTTATAAAGGTGTTCAACTGTAGTCGAAAAACATCATGTTATAGCTGGTTTCAGGCTATTAATAGTTGCATTTTGACTAGTACAAGCTGTATTTTATTTCATAAAAAATATCATGCTTTCCAACTGACCTCAGTAATACATTTCTTTATGTTGTTTGTGCAATTATCAGGGGGTCAGAACAATTTGGATGTTCAGTTTATCTCATTGTCTTACTCTGAAATTATTTAGTAAAATAATGCATTGTGGCAAGCTTTCTGGCTTTGATCTGTGGAAAAAATTTCACCTTCTTCATTTGTCAGTACCACTCGTGTGTGCTGCCTTTGGGAAGTCATCATAAAGAGCTGAAATTGTATAATCATAAACAAGTGAATTTCGTAACTAACCCTTTTCTTGCTGTTACTTTTTCATTCAAGTTTGCTGTGAAATAGCATCTAGAGTGCTATAGAAGTTTAAGCAAGCATGCGTTAAATTCACATCTATGCTTTACAGATGTTACAGAGGTTACAGATGAGCATGATTTTAGCTTTTTTCTCGTGAATAAAGGTGTTATTTTGTTATAGTTGAGTCGCACTGCAGTTTTCACAGAAACTTCATGTTAGTGCATGTTACGGAAAAGAAGTGCTGTGAATCAATATTTGGATTTTTGAAAGCTTCTACTCTATACACCTTTCATAAATGTGTGATGATTGTATGCAACAAAGCAAGCATTTCAGAGTTTATATTTTTATTAATGTTTTATTTCATATCACAATTGACGAGCATCTATTGCACTTAACAAAAACTTAACCTATTGCACTATGACTAAGTTTTAACTTTATAAAATATAAATGTAATATGTACTTGTGTTCTGCAATACTTCTTGCTTATGTATGCTCTTAAAAAAGTGAAGCACTGGCGTATCCTCGCAATGTTTGTTGTACTCCTCCACCAGATATTCACGTGTGACCAAGTCCAATGACTCAGTTGAACACCTGCTTGAACTGGGCAATGTAAAAGTGACGAATCTATTGCCCAACCAAGTTTACAAGGTAAGGTGGAATGACAACATTGAACATATACTGATGTAACAACATTACTGGAGGAAAATGTAGCATTGCAATTATTATAATTAATGTGAGAACAGCCAGCTCATCAATTTTTCTACAATTTGTCATGGCTTTGAAGATAATGCACAGACTATTCAGTGAGGTTCTTTTTTATTGTTTCTCGTGGTACAGTTGTATTCTGACCTGGCTGAACTTTTATTTAAAGAGCTGGATATTTTAAATTCACAATGATTTCACTGTTATGATGTAGTTTCCAGTTCACATATTAGTATTGATCGCTTGTGTTACTGTATGTTCACCTCGTGTGTGCCGTAAAAGATTTATGGGCTGTCACTTTTATTATTTGTACTATAATTCCTGTTTGTAATGTTATGGAGACAGTACAGGGGTTGAAGTGAGATTCCCAGTGGCTTATCATTATTATACAGTGAATATACAATCTTCATGATTCATCATCATCATCATGATTCATCATCATCATCAGCCTGTGTTAGTCCACTGCAGGATCTCCAGTTTACGCTATCCTGTTTGAGATGATTCCGCTTCATCCCTGCAATCTTTCTAATATCATTACTCCATCTAACTCTGCCTCCAACTACTTTGTTTTCCATCCCTTGGTAACTAATCGGTTGCTCTTACTGCACGTTTGCAATGGCACAGTGAAGTACTACTGTGTGTAGTACTACTATCATACCCATGTTGATGAAGTGCTGTACCAGCAGTGTTCTCGGACATTGCTGCCTGATTTTGAAGTCAAGTCTTATGAAACTGCACAGCTAGTACAATTCTCTCTGCTAGTAACTTTGCATACTCAGTGGTACATGCTGGAACACAAGTAGCTGAATGTGCAATGTTTTTCCTATAGAATTTCGCATAAAATGATGATTTTTTGCTCACATCCAATGATGCCGACACCATAGTTTTTGTTAAACGAGCTCTTTAACACTATCACGTTAATATGAATAGTATTTTTTCCCACCTTTTTCTTATGTTCCCTGCGCAGATTAGTGAAGCAGGTTCATCCAGAGCTGAATTTGTTTGTTAGTAAGCATTCTAATTTTTGCAGTTGTGACCAATGAAGAATTTTTGTTTTCCATGTTTCTACATTTTCGTTCTATTTTCCATGTTTCTGAGGGTTTTATACTTGTCAAACCCCTCCCCCCCCCCTCCCAAAAATAAAACACATTCATGATCATCATCATCATCAACCTATTTACGTCCACTGCTGGACGAAAGCCATTTGCCATGATTTCAAGTTTACTCTGTCTATATACATATTCAAATATTATAGCACTTAACAACTCTGGAAAAAAAAAAGAACAGAATTGAAGAAACAGAGAGATGTTTTCATTTTAAATGCCGCCATATAGTGTCACGTTTTGTTCGTGTCTGTTCTGTATGTGCAGGAAGTTCTGCAGCCAACAGAACTCCAACCACATGTTCCACTAGAACGTCAGCGGGCCCTACGCATATTTTGCCGGGTGCGAGCACCCGTCGGAGGCATTTCAGTCAAGGAGCACCTCGAGGTCAACCTGGTGCCCATTACCATTGGCCTGACCTACGCCTTCACATACCGCATGCTGCGCTTCTTCTTCTCATCACGGGCTGCCGGAGGTAAACCCCCCTGAACTCGCACTGAAATAGGCACTTTGTTGTCCGTGCACGTGCATGAGCTTGAAGAGCATTTTATCTATCATTAAATGCATAATGGGCCGGTCAACAGAGTTTCTGCTCATCAGAATTTAGGCTGGCAAAACTAGTAGCATTTTGGTTCTTGCCTCGTGTCACCGTGAGAGTCTACAAGCTCTATCAAATTTAAATTCTACTACAAGTACTCGCAGCTGCTTCAAACATGCCTTGTAGCCATTTTCGCTGGCACAAACTGTGGCCAGCTCATTTTTTAGTAGCACTGAGGGTGTCTGTTCATGTACAGCACAAAAGATTTGAAAAGCAAGCAGTGGAGTGCACTCTTTTTGAAAGCCTAGCAAAAGGGAAAAGGAAGAAAGATGTACTACAACCAACTCCAAAGAACACTTCCTGGGGAAAATCACCATTGATTGCACATCTTCCCACATGCATTTCACTAGACTAAGCATCAACAATGAACTTTGTTATGCCCCTTTCAGTTGCCACACGTGTGTGGGTTCAAAACCACAATATCAGCAGATGTTCATGTTTCATTCCTTGTATCAAATACAATCATTAAGGGGACCGGCAACTGATTTTTCTTAACCCATTTTTTTACGGAGCTGCATAAATCACACGTCGTAGTGTTTCTAGCTGCAGTAGTTGATCCCCAAGACACGCAGTTATTTTACCAGCACTGTTTTTCTATCTGAAAGGCTCTCAATACAGATTTACATTTCCTCTAGCAACGCTGCGAATTGATAGCGATGCCACCAGCCCTTATTGCGATTTGTGAAAGTTAGCGTCAGTCTGATTTCGCAGTAGTTCCTGTCACTCTGCTTAACCATTTTATTATAAGTTTTCCAACTATTTTTAAAAATAACAAGCTGTTGCAATGGGTGGGTTTGGCGTATTTGTACCTACCCTGTATTTGTACTGCGTTGTGTGCGCCTGCGCCCAAGGTTACCTGTGCCTGTGACATGAGAGGCTTGTCCCGGCATCGTTACTCTCTCGATACACGAGCCAAGCCGAATCGCCAAAATCCTCACTATGCACATGCCCGGCCATGCTGAGTAGCAGTGCACGTCATTTCTGAGACGAAGTGGAGGTAGAAAAACTGCTATGTCGCTCCGAAATATTAGCAATCTGGAAACTGCTTGCACGGTAGCATGAGCACTCTGTAAAGCTGCTCAAGACCCACTGACGAGCATGGGATTATTACATCATGCGAAGCCAGCGCCACTTCAATGCATACTACTAATGCAAGCCTATAGGTATATTTTTATAGAGTAATATATTTTCATACAATGAAACCAACAATATTTCAATACTAACAAAAAGTTGTCAACTGCGTACAGCAATCGACAATCACTTGGCTAGGTACATCGATCGTTCGTGTTTTTGCTGCCAGAGGTGCTACAGACTACGTTTTGCAACTTTCAAAGAAGAAACGAAACTATAACTCCACCTCTCACAAAAAAACAGGGTTGGTTTGAGTCGATGTGACGGGCGATCTTTCCGTCAGTGGAGTCGTCTCATTTCATGTTCTGGGCAGTTGCCGGTCCCTTTGAAGCCTATAGTCTCAGCATGTTTTGTATTGTTGCACAGACAAGTCCGATGATCATCTCGATGAGGAGCCAAAGCCTGCACCACCTCCTCCAAGCCACACAAGAAGAGGTCGCAAGTCGCAGCCTAGTCTGGCATCATCCAGCCGAGACGATGTTGAGAAAATGAAGGTATTAGTGACAAGTACAAATTCACTTATTTTTCCTGGCTACTTGCTGTTCTGAATTCAACAAGTTTAAAGACCAATAATAAAAAGCACCAAAGAGAAGTACTGCATCAAGCTAAGCACTGATCTGCCGCGGCAGTCTAGCGATTTGAAGAAAACGCTGAATGAAACTTCGAGCTTAGAATAACAGTGAGCTGAGTTGGTAGGTGTTCATGTTGAAGACTGGGCGTGGAAACATGTACACAAGAGAAAAGTAGAGACAACAAAAATGCCGTTTGTGTTTTCTTGACTTTTCTCTTGTGTCTATGTTTTCATGCCCAGTCTGTTAACATGAAACATAGAATTATGCAAATGAAATTTTGTTCCTGCAATTAATCCTGTATTCAATGCGTAAAACTGCAAATTTTTTCAGCAATGCTTTTGAATAAAAGCAAGTGCATTGAAACTACCAGGAAACAAAACAGTGTAAACGCATGTCTTAAGACTCAAAGAAGAGGTATTCAGTCCTGTTTTTGTCTTAAAAATATTTGTTCTAGAAATGAAATTATTGCCGTACCATGAGCTGTTTCATAAAGCGAGCAAATGTCTCTAATAAATGTAACTGAAACAAGTAAAATTAGAATACCACTACTCGAAAAAGTACCTTTTTTCCGTTTCGCTATATTGTTTTTTTCTGCACCAAGGCATATGCTCCCATACGTGCCAGATTTATTGAAACCTTGACGCTAGCTTGCTCGTTTTGCACAGGTATTTTTTTTCCCTGTCTATAGGCAAATGTATCATTGTTCAACAAAAATGTGGGACAGGAGTTGAATGTAACAAGTTATGTTTAGGAGTTGAATCCGGAAGGCACCAAACTAAGTAAGGGTTCTCCAACGTGCAGGAGCGTGCTGAGAAGAACCAGACGTTTGTGTACGTAAAGGTTCCTGAAGTGCCACTGCGCCTGAGCTATAAAGGCGAGAAGGAGAAAAACCTGGAGGATCTGCATGACTGCTCGTTGGTGCTTCCGACCCTGGAGTTGCACAATCGCACTTGCACTTGGCTCGACCTGCTTATGGTGGTCAAGAACACTGCACGCAAGGTCCTTCTATCACAGGTGAGTGGGCCAGTTGAACAGTTTGTAAAGGGCTTCACAAAGCAGCAAGTTGAACATATAAGCAAAATATTTGCTAATCCTTGATTTAGGTGTGTGGTATTGGCACCCGCACGTTGATATTTGCAAGCGCTGCTCACAAATGTCATCATGTAGTGCAAGATCGGGACACCAATGTTTACATACATTGCCAGGGAATTTTATAAGAAATTCTGTGACTTGCGATTACTGGCTGACTGGTACTGCTCACTGCTGTATAGCAACCACATCATTGTCTTTGGCGAAAGTGCAAAGTAGCATGAAGGCAGCTCAGACCTATTTGTTTAAACTGTACTTTCTGGCTCTAATTTAACATGTTTTTTTTTAAATACCATTCAAACATTTTCATCTCATAGGCAATCAAGCAGAAGTTACAAATCAAGAGTCACCAGGCACAGGGCAGTGCCTCTGAAGACACCAGCCAGCCGCAGGAAGAGGACAAAGCTCGACTGTTACTGGGTGCAAAGCTACTGGTTAGTATGAGTAGAAGTTGTAGCATCTGAAGATGGGAAGTTGCGTAGAGGTGTGGGTGTTCGTGAGTCAGTTCGATCAAGGGGTTAGCAGCTGGCACTCTGCTCTTGTGTGTTGTCTGCAAAGGCCGGGTAAGCCGGTGTTGCTAGTAGCTTTGTGTGCGGCGTCTTCCTGCGCACCTAATGCTGACGGTCACATTATCATATTCGGAGACGTTTTGAAGCGAGAGGCAATGCGATGACTAGGCTTGTGCGAATATAGAACGGACTTATTTGTCATGACCAAACCAACCTGCAAAATATATTTTAAAAATTGAAACAAGGCCTGTGCTAATGCCATTCTTTTTTGCTCAAGGGAAGTGGAAACAACCTTGTTGAACAGTAGCAGAATTTGACTTCTGGTACAATGCAAATGATAACCTGTAAAATATGTTGTTTTAAAGTTTACTATACTTAGAGCATATAAGCCAGAATAACAAGCTTTTAAACTAATAAAATGGGCATGATGAATTTATGTGAGACTAATATGTTCATTGTACTTTGAAGGGAGACTACGCAATAATGTGGATTTTTCCTGGATAGGTGTTTTCATGGCTTAGCACCCCTTTACTGCAGTGAAACCACCTTTACAAGGATGATATACGAATTAATGTGCATTTAGTCATTCGTTTCGAATACTTCAAACTTTTCAGTAATTTATATTCCAATCAAAACAAAATTGAGTACTGTACTGTTAGTTCAAATGTTCAAAGCCTTTGAATATTTGCACAAGCCTAGGGATAACATTTTCACGAAATTATGTAGGCAACATAGCTTTTGTTCGAAATGACCATAATGCGGTTCTGAGAATTCAAATTTATGGCAGTGCTTTTATTTTAGTATACTGTACTTACTCGAATGTAACAAGTTTTTTTTTCATATTTTCACTATTTAAAGTTTACCCTCGTGTTATAATAGATTAAATGCAGTACACTATTTTGTGGGACTATCCATAGATTTGAATTCAAATATTTTTATTTATATTGAGATTTTACTGTAGCTCACTGTTAAATTGGTGTCTGTATTATGCTGGCAAGCAGGAGGCTTATTTTCAGCTATCATGGCCACACTCTTACAGGCACAGAAAGATAAAATGCACATGTGTGGTGTCGTCTTAGTACAGCAAACACCTAGCTGGTAGGCAAAGGAACGCTTTCTACAGAAAGCAATGCGATGGACAGCAGTGATGATGGCGCACATAATTCAGATGTGTCATACTAGTACCTTTTTTTCTTAAGTCTGTGCTATCATTTTCTGCTGGAAACATCTACTTGCGATGTACATTGTTTTAGGGCAGAAAAACACTATTAACTTCGCTGGTAATGAGGCCTGGGCAGTGTAGCTGTAATACTTATATAGTGCAGTAAAACATGACTGGTATAATGCGTTACACTGGCATTTGCGCACTAAAAATGGCCCAGATGATTATTGCACGGATATGCTGCATTTTGAAATTGGACAGTGGCCTTTTTAAGTCTGTAACACCATTTTTTAGAACTCGAGTAAGTCACACTTCCACAGATGCTCCAAAAAGTATGGCCGCATAAAAAAATTTAAATTTTTTTTTAAGCTTGTGCTGTTCACTCATAATGCATCAGTTGCACTAAAGCAATAACACAACTGCTGCTAGTCTGTGGCACAGTGTCGATGAAGGAAACTCCCTGGATAAGTGATATTTGTCCATGGCACAGTTAAGATTAGCGAATTTAGTGCAACACTCCAGTCACATTGCATTTATTTTGATGCAGGGTGGACCAGAAAAAAGCACCAGGAGGGGATTCTTCAAATGAACATGACCATTCTCTAGGCTGGTCTATGCAAGGACTCCGTGCATAGTTCTCAAGCTGCCAACGCACCGACCGTGTGCCATTCCATTTGTACATACATACATACATACATCAATGTGATACATGCTCACGTTGTACTTGACGGTAAAAGACCAACCGGTACACATTTTACGAGAATGTTTGCAGAAAAGAAAACTGCATGCTTGGCATGTTTTAACGATATTTAATTTAGAAACATTGTGATTTTTTAACTGTCTGCGCTATACCTTTATATAAATGCTCACTGCAATAAGTTGCAGTGCAGCAGCTGTGCACTGCAAATATTTGCACTATTTCTGTTCTAGCAGCATATGGCCATCCTTGAGACAAAAAAAAAGTGCTACATGCCACATATGCGTAGCTGCACAGATTAGTGCAAAGCATATGCTGTACTTTGACATTCCTTTTGGTTTATGCAGATTCTTTATCTCTACCGTGCAGTATGCTTACCATATATGGTTACAATATAGACAATCCTGCACTCTGTAGATATAATTTGTTCTTGTTGACTGTTTATGAACAAATATGGTGTCTACTTTGTGAAGCTTAATTCGCTGGAATATGTATAAGGGCATGCTTGACACACAAGAAAGCTATCTTGTACTACTTTAGAAACTCTGCAGGAGCCTAGCCTGCTTACTTGCTGTCTTTGCTGTACACATTTGTGCATTTCTCAAGATCTAAGTCATTCAAAATGAAACCATTATGCATATGTGTGCATGTAGACTGCAGTACTTGTATTTGTTGCTAGGCTACTAGTTTATTTCAATTCAGTTTCTTAGTACAGCAAGCTGTCGTATGGTTGAAAAACAATAAAGGATAGTTTGCAAGACCTCTGCGATATTTATGTGCTCGTGGTTATGTATGGCCACGTTGGACTGGAAGTGTAACCCTTGTACTTCTTTTTGGCCTTGAGGCCTGTGACGATAGTCGATGTTCCCGGGTAGGCATTTACTCCGCCAAAGAAAGTGTCTGTCTCAGGGTTGAAGCGAACATAGTTGGGGATCACATGGAGATTTTTGGGCAGCTGATCCTTGCGCTGGACAAGGGATTCGTAAGGGGACAGTCCTTCAACAGGTGTGGAGAAGTACTCCACTACATCATCAAGGCACTTCACATTCATCAACTCCGAGCTTGGGATGTCGTGGCCAAATTCACTGATGCACCTCGTCAGCAACTACGGAAAAGCACACAAAAAAAGGACACTCTAAGCAAGTTCAAGCAAATGACATAAGTACAGAGGCAAAAAGGTAAGTCGAGCACAATGCATGAGCGTTTAAAAAAATCATTTGATGCACTTGGTACTAGAAAACTAAGGGCACTTTAAAGCTCCTTTCGCATAACTATTGGTCCTTGCAAACGCTAAAGGGCTTACTGCAAAGCCTTCTGAAAAGATCAATCTTGCAAAAGTACATAATACACCTAAACAAACCGGGGCTGCTACGCAGACTGGGCGAACTAAACTGACGTACCCTAAACTTAAGCAGGGGCTCGTTGATGGGTGTCTGAAGCCACGAGCTGTCGGCCTTTTGTCCAAGCACTTCTTCGTAGACGACCTTAACTTTGTCTTCCACATCTTCAGCTGGCTTGTACGGCTTCATAGGCCGGCAGAATCTGCGTACGAAGCAAAGTGAAATTGCCGTTCCCAAGATTCCAGACGTGCAATCGTTAAACGTACCCTCGATCCTTCAGCGAATGCAACGCTGAGCGTGCCAAGGCTTTTGACGGCAGCCCGTTCTCATCTTCTCGAATAGGAATCACCTGTCTAAATCTTCTTGCAGTGCATGCGGCACATGACGTTGAAAGTTCAGCCTGAAACCCAAAGACGAGAGGCACCGAAACAAATTAAATGTAGCCACCCTCGCGCAACACATGTTGGTCGTGCAACGTAGTAGGCAATCTTCGCTTCGATTGTGGTCGAAAACGTGATTAGGTTGCGTTAGCGACTCACCTTTTGCTTAAATAAATTTATTGGAAATACAAAACGTGACCTCCGTGTGAGGGCTGCCATTTTAACTCTACAATCAACAAACTCTCAAAATGATGATGATGATGATAACTTAAATTTATTGTGTTTACTAAAACTAGTAGTGCAACTGACGTTATAAACTTGATTAATACCCTAAACTTTATAATTTCAGCTTAAGTTTTACTAAGATGTTTAGCGGTGACTCTTACAAGGGCAAAAAGTACGAGTTAAAATGCACGGGTTTTAGTTTCGGTACTGTTGAAACCATCGCGGTTGCTTTGAGGTTCGTGACAAATGGTTCAGTGACACGACCTCCTCTATAAACTATAAATTTCTATAAAGTTTTTAGAGGAGGTCATGTTCAGTGGTGACAAACATGAGCTTACTCACCTTACAGATCGGCCAGTGTGGCAATCAGCTGGATTTTGAGTTCTTTAACGTTTTGGCGCAAGACGTAGGTGTTGGTGAGCCCGAGTCGCGCCGTGACAACGAGTACTACAGCGCGTCGGCAGAGAGGTGAGTGACCTATCAACGCTCAACGCAGTCCTGTTCTTTTTGGCAGCACCAGTGTCGCTGGATTATAATTTCTCTTCGCAGGTTTTTCACTGTTGACCCCCGAGGTGGCCTTATTGCTAGTGCCGTCCTGGTTGACACGGAAAGAAAGGTTAGCTAATCTATATCTGTGGTGCAAGCATAGATGATAGACGTGCACACTAGGGGTTGGGGTCGCAAGGGCAGTCCCGTATATTGGCATAATCGGAAAGGGGGGGCTGTGACTAGGGAGAATAGGGGGGTGGGGGGTGCCAGGTTAACTTTATACATAGATATAACAAGGAGAGGGGCGACAAATCTTCGCCCCCCCCCCCCCCCCCACGGTGGAAACCAGGTGCTCACGCCTACGAGTGCAAATGTTGAAATGCGACTATTTCGAAAACATCTAACTAGCTAGTTGTGTTCGTGCTCTCGTGTATTCTTATTCTGTGCATACAGACTTATATCAAATTCCGCAGCCTTTGTTACTGTAAATCGTGACTCCCGTTACCTAGGGGTTATGAAACTCTTGGATAGGAGCTAACGCCTTAGGATGCTGTGTATGCTGGGGCAATGGCTGGGCTAAAAATCCATGGAACATGCTTTAAAGTTCTTGGAAGTTGTGTAAAATCCTTGTGGTACTTGAAATCGTAAAAAGTTGACAGCATCAATAGCTTCAACCCGAATGTTGGTATTTACGAAAAGCTGACATTTTTGGACCTGGCTTGACTTGATGTTCAGGGATTCAGCGATGGAAGGCAGATGGAAGGTGGTTTGGCGCCATATTGCTTGGTGCAAATGTTACTGCTTGTCATCGTCATAAAAGAGTGCACATAAGCGAATGCAAAAAACAAGGAAAAAGCAATGACACGGGTACTGCACATCATTCTCGAGTGTTATTGTGTTTTGGTCCCATTGAGATGTGGCTATCACACATGTAATTTAAGGACGTCAGCACCATGCATTGCACCAAGCAACGCACGGCGTTTCAGCGAGCATGCCAATGATGGGTAGTATGCAGATTTGTCTAATCTTCGTACTTCTGGATCCATGTGTGTTCGTGTGGCTTGGAGATGTTTTTTCACGAAACAAAAATCAGCAAATGTTCAGCGGTCATGCTTCACTACCTTATGTTTTTAGGCTTACCATTTCAAATCGGGTCACAATGTTTAAAAGGGTTCGTTCTTTTCTTCGAAACAAAACTGAAGCACAGTAATAAACAAGGCCACATGTGCGATTTGCCCCCCACAAGTACGAAGACTAGGCAAATCCGTGAACTACCCATCATGCCCATGGTCACTGAACGATTGCAGCACCAGAGTCTCCTCTAGGTAATTTTAGGAAACTCTATGGCTATGAACAATGAAAATGAAATAGATGTTTTTAAAACGCAGATGGGTAATCGAGAAAACGCTTCACTTGGGGCGGCAGCATGTTTCCTAGTGTGTCCCACTGAGAGGAAAAACATAAGAGAGGAGCTAAAGGGCAAATGGGCTCTACAAGGCTGAATGGGTTCTACAAGTATAATAAATACTATCAACTTTTTATTGAAGAAATCATTAGCATATTAATTTCCCAAATGCACGGGTACTTCTTTCAAAATGTTTTGCTTTAGTACACTGGTAAGACTGCCTGATGATTGCTGCTATTCTTGCTGAAATAAACGTGCACTTACATATTACAAGTACATTTTATGAATGTAATTCAAAAAAGGATAACCGAAATGCTGACCTTCTCTCCCAAAAAGTGCTTCATTTTCTTGGCATCGCAGGCCGTCGGCAGAGTGTTGAAGGATGCCTGCTACAGCGACAAGTGGCACTACGCCAGTGGAGCAGCTTACACCAGTTCACAGGGTGCTGTAACAACTGGGCACTGGGTTATTTCGAACAAGCTCAGAAAGGCATGGACGAGATCTGCAACCTTGTGAGGCACCACGCCGAGCGACGGGACTGGCTGGAGGGCTTCCTGCCCATTTTTTCTCTTGGTGGCAAGACAGGCAGCGGTTTGGGAACCAAACTCATAGAGACGCCGAGAGACAACTATCCAAAGACTCCTGTTGTAACAGCGGTGAGTAGATGCACTATATGTCAATACTTGTGCTGTATAATAAGTATACTTTTTTAAAGGTGAACAGAGATCTGTTGAAGGGGTTCACCTTTTATACGGAAACATTGGGTCAGTTCATAGTTTTTAATTTTAGCATTAGAAGATTTAGACTAAAAGTGGCTGGAGAATTTATTTCATTCCTATGAATAAGTATACTACAGTTCAGTACAACATTAAAAGGCAGCAAAATTTCATTCTCAAAGGTAGATGAATATCTGGCACCATAAGTCATGAGCCGGCCATGAGGCTCCTAGCTCGTGATCCAGCTCCTGACTTGCTTGGTTGCAGGGGCAGTTGATCACACTTCTGCAATCTAGGGGAATCCTCTAGTGCCATCTTAAATTGTATCCTACTTTCAGTCCTTGGTTGAATAAAATTGTTAACCTTATTTTTTCCCTAGGACAGTTTCCAGAAAAGGCTACACCTGGCCATCCTTCATTCAACAATTGGAGTAAGACTGGGCTCAATGCAGGGCGATCTTTTCTTTATTAGCTTTTCCATTGATGTTGCATACATTCAAGCCAGCCCCTTATGAAATGCCACAGGGCCTTTAACCCTTTACTGCCTGGTGTCGCGAATTCGTGACATACCAGAAAACTTTGAGCAAGCAAGTCATGGAGTGAATGCCGCCTTTAATGCCGGCTGTCAAGTACTCACGAGGAACGTGCCTTTCAGCATGAAAAATCTAGAGCTATGTTGTGTAATGTATTGTATGCTAGAACCGATTATTTCATAGCTGATGGTGGAGAGTGCTAACTTCTTCGTTCTTTCTCGCCTGGCTGATGCGAGTTCTATCTTCAATGATTTTTTTTTACTTGGTGTGTACGCGCTCAATACGTGGCACACGACATGTTGCGTAGGTCTGAAGCACATTTTTCATTGCAAGGTCCTTGCTTATAGGGCACGTAGAGAATTCGCTACATACATAAAACTATGCATTCAAGGCGCATTTTAGATAATTTAAGTGTGGAATCGTTCAAAGATTGCTATTGAACATCTGAAAGTGAAAACAATTTTTATTTTCTTCAGAGGTTTCTAGGCTTGTGCGATTAGTGAATTTTAGATTCGAAGCGAATAGTGATTTTGATCGAATAACTTCGAATCGAATTCGAATAGTATGTATGACATATAAAAAAAAGGGAATATTTATCATGACCTAACTAACCTGCACAATATTTCTTTTGAATTGAAATAGGAGCTCTATGCAAATGCCATTTTTTTTTTCGTTCAATGGAAGTCGAAACAACCTTGAGTAGTAGTTTGGGTAGGATGCGAGTGATAAGATACTTAACATTTTAAAATTTATTATACTTGGAGCATATAAGCCGTCATAACAAGCTTAATAAAATGAAGAATTGCTTTGAAGGTAACATGTTCCTTTAAAGGGGCCCTGCAACACTTTTTCAAGTAGCCATAGAGCCAGTAAATATGCTTGTTGCCTCACAAATTTGCCGCCGCAAAGTTTCTAGAATCAGTCCAGCACAAGTGGAGTTCCGAAAATTTGTCGCACACTTTAATTGCATTCTCTCTTCTCGTCCCAACGGAATAGCCGGAAGCTAAGCAGGGAGGAATGGCATGGCGAAATAAAAATACGTCACACGCACCTCGTGACCTTGAGCGCCTTTAATTTTTTTATTCGAATACGCGGCTTTTCAGTACGATCACGCACGTACTCATGGATAAGTGGCGGCCTTCCACGGCAGCCCAGGCAACGACAAGCGTGCCATGCTCAAATCAGCCAATGGCTGTGTCCAGAGCCCTATATTCCTTCTTGGCTGTGACAAGTCATTGTTAAGCTTGTAGTGTCACTTGCCGAGGGAAGAAAGCAATTTTTTGCTTTGAAAAATCATTGTGAATTACAGGCCACGTACTGCGTAATTACAGGCCACGGTAGCCTCGACTACCGATCGGCAGCGTTTTCTGATTATGCTCAGTAAGTGTTGCAGGGCCCATCTAAATTGGAGGGAGGACTTTGCATCAAAGCGAATTTTCTTTAGATAGGTGCTTTCACGGCTTAGCACCGCTATATTGCAGTGAAACCACTTTTACAAGCGGTTACATGCGGATTAATATACACTTATTCGTTCATTGCAAATACTTCGGAAATATTTGATAATTTAAATTTAGATCGAAGCGAATTCGAATACTCAACTATTTGTTCAAATATTCGAAGCATTCAAATATTCGCACAAGTCTAGCGGTTTCATAATTCAGGCATCAAAGGATTAAGTGGAAGAAAAGAAATTAAGTTATGGCAACTGTCCATCATAGTTTCCAAAAGACTGTGAGATAGCTTTTGCATTACATGATATTCTCCTCTATAATTCACTCGCAATCACCCTTAATTTTAAATGTGCAACCACCCGGCACACTAACTTGGTATTTGCCTAAAAACAGCATTTCTGCTTGTTGAATTCCTTGAGTGGGAAAATTCAAATTATGCAAATACTAAGGACTCTCCTAGCCTTCTCTATGAAGGAAACAGATCTTTTTCTAGTGCCTTTTATACTCGGATTTCCTTCACTGATTTGTATGTGCATACTTTTTTGTTATTTAATGTGTAGAATTTGTTTTTCTGCCTCTCCTGAATGCTGCATTTGCAGCTTGCAATCGGCTCTATGTCACTGGCAGCAGGTGCTCTTAGTGCAGTATATCTTATGTATAGTATCTGATGAAAGATTATACAGCATAAATAAAAGGTAAGCAAAGGCATGAAAAAGGCGCAAAACTTCAATAGACCTTTCTGCTAACCATGTTATTGATGGGGATGCTGCAATTTTAACCGCGACAGAGAAGGACCTACCTTTACCACTGCTCTTCGAATCTTTGTGCCTCCAACTAACAAAACACACAATCAACCGAACTCGAGATATTGCGTGCGTGCATGAACCTCTGCCTTGCAGCACCTCACCTTTTCGTAATCACGTCTCTTTCATGCTCATATTCAGTGCGAGCTGAAAACCCACAACAGCCTTTAAACATCAATTTTATTTTATTTTATTTTATTCAATCTTGAACCTGAGTGTTTTCTTTCAACAGATTTTACAAGGTTGTTTTTCTGCATGAGCATCCATTAGTAATTAGCTCCATGCAATATAGCAGTCAACTCCCTTTTGTCTTGCTTTGTTACATTCATGTATAAGTGTTCATTGTTTTGCTTGTGCAGGCACAGTGCATGTCACACTATATGTAGTATTACATATATTAAATATAGGTACTATAAGCTAATTTTCAAGTGATGCGTCTCTTGCTCAGGGACCTTCTCTAGGCTCTGCTCTGAAACATATTTAAAGTGCATTATTTTAAGCATGCTAAACGGTAAATGTTCATCCAGGTGGTGTGGCCGTTCAAGTCTGGAGAAGTGGCAGTGCAGGCGTACAACGTGCTGCTGTCTCTGGCACATTTGCAAGATTGTGCAGATGCCCTGCTTGTATTAAGCAATGACTCTCTGCACCGAGTAGTCACCCAGCGGTGGGCACTTCGTAGCACCTTCCTGGTCGAGATGAATGCATTGGCTGCCAGACACTTGGCTTGCCTGCTTCAACCCAGCCAAGCCAAGTATGGACCATTCAAATGCCTTGGCAAGATTTATTAAGTGCTTCTGTCAGCTAATTGATGTGTGTCTTGAGGGGAGACAAGGGTCTTAAAAAGAAGTTTTTTATTTATTACCCTACCGTCATGAAAATTACTGTGCGTTCGTACCATTGAATACATGTTTGAAATCTGCAAAAGAATTTCAAATATCTCATTTAGAAAAGAGTAATGACAAATTTCCACATTAAATTAGGTAATTTCTTACGGGTTGTTATGGTAACTCACAATAACAAAAGTAAGTTTTCAAAGCTACATATTTCCTCTAAAAGGTTCATCCCACAGGTTAAAGCAAACTAATTGTCAAATCAGCTATTTCTTTGATGAGGAATAATTTTGAACTTAGAAGGTAAAATTGAGCTTCCAATAATTAGCTGGTATTTATCTTATAATTACGATTATATCAAGGTTCAGAGAAAAGAAAAGCTTTAACCTGTATTCAAGTACTGTGGAAAAGAATGGTACCAAGTTTGTTTATATATAGGTTATTCACAGAAACTTGCTCAAAACTTCTGTAAGGCAGATTCACTTCACAAAAATAACAATGTCGAGAAAATTGTTTCTAGTTTTAAAAAAATTTGTAATTTCATATATTAAGCTTTTAACAAAAAGAAATGTTATTTTGCCATAATATAAAGTTTTTCCAAAACATACTTTCGACTACAAATACTTCAGATTACAATTTTCACGAGTCAGCATTTTTTACAATTTTGTGTTATTTTAAGACCCTCATCCCCCCCTTAAGTTGTTGCCTTGTAGATATATGAGTAACATAATGTACGTATCTACTGCAGCTTCATGTTCCTTCCTGTCAGTTGAGCCTGTGGACAACTCTCTGCAGAGGCACACAGGCATGACTGGCCTTGGGACAGTGCAGTGGCCATAGATGTAATGCGTAACTTGTTACAGCAGGGTGTAAGCAGGTCACATGCTTGCACAGCAGAATGTAGTTCTAAATGTAATTGCCTAGACGTTCACAAGCTTGATACAGCTGTGCTTGTATGGCACGTAGGAGGCCACAGCAGTGCATGATATGTTTATTCTACTTAGCATATACATCCGGTTGCTTTAATTGTTGTATCTGTAACTATTGTTAACTGTGGTTATAAATCAACATGGATGCACCCATAAAGACGCAGCCACCAATTTCGATCCGAACTTACGCTTGTTACTTGCCCACTGTCGTGACAGCATTTAATAAATTATGAAATTGGCTATGGCTTTGTGCGATATCATGCTGAAAGTAAAGCATCAAATATATTTTTTTAATTATTCAGATCATTGTTCACATGAGAAATTCAAGGTTCGCAAAACTTCAGGACACAAACATGAAGCAAATACAAAAAAGCGTATGTTTGGAACTTCCGGGTCACGCACTGTACTATGACAATGTTATAAATCCAAGGTGGAGAGAATCCCCTTTGATGGGTGCCGCCTTGTCGTCTTTTTCCAGCAGTGCCATCTGCTTGCTATGAGTTGTCCGTGCGCGTGTAGATACCATTAAAACGCCGAGTAGGTGATAGGGTTTGGATGAAGACATATTGAGCAGCGTTGCCCGTAGTCATGTTCTAGGGTCTCCAAGACCGCAGTGCCAATAGTGCCATCCTTGTTTAATTGCACTAACCAGCTGCAGAAAATAGTTTATACACACTTTTGCATTTTATTCACTGCAAGAAGTAATTTCAGGCCTCATTTTCACCAAACATTTAAAGCAGTATTTGTTAAATAAAGATGAGACAGTTAAACAAAAGCAGTTACCTTTCTTTTCCGCAATACAATAATTTTGGCATTGAGCGTTAATCACTGGCTGCCAATTGCCACCAAGTTACACTAAAGTTTGCTCAGTTGTTGGTTAATATTCAAGCTTTTTCTCTGAATGTTTGCAGGAGACATTGCTACTGATCTGGGATGTTTTGGATCTCTGAAGCAAGTGAGTCTGCTGCAGGTGCCCCAGGAGCCACCTGCAATGACGGCCTTCAGCTGTAGCTCCTGGCAGGGTCTGGTGCGGGCGCTCCGCAAGATGCAGAGGTGCCACAGTGCTACTGATGAAGGTTAGTACTGTCACCCTTATAGCTTGTTAGGCCTGCTGAGTATACTCATATGCTATAAAGTAAGTCTGTAATAGAGTGCTCACTACTGGGAATGTTCAAATATATGATAAATTTGAATATTCAAACGATTATTACCGTATTAGAAGTCGCTTCGTCACGAATTTCAGTTATTCAAAATGAACAAATAGTCATAGACTGCATGTAATTTCCCCTGTAAGGGTGGTTTTGCTGTAGGATAAGAATTCTATGCCATGAAAACACCTACACAGAAAAAATGTGCACTCACTTTAACGTTAAATTAACAGATTACCCTTGCATCGATTGTGTTTAAAAATTAAAAGCCTATTATACCGGCGTATTTGCACTAAGCATAAGCAATTTTAAAATTAAATGTATTTTGCCAGTTATCACTAGCATCTTACTGAAATTCAGATCCTACTTCCACATCACTATGTACCAAAGAAGTGACATTCACACGTGCTTTTTTCCCGATATTTAAAAAATATTGTTTGGGTTGATTGGGCCACGGCAAATGTGCTCATTTTGCTTCAAAGTATGTGATTGAACTATTTGATTCGAAATTATTCGATCTAACCACTATTCGCTTCTAATTTTATTAAAAGCTAAAGTTTACTACTGTTTGCACATCCCTACTAGTAACAACTGTACGTAATTGGGCCCTGCCACAGTGGTCTAGTGGCTAAGGTACTTAGCTGCTGACCCGCAGGTCCCGGAATCGAATGCCAGCTGCTGCGGATGCATTTTCGGTGGAGACGAAAGTGCTGCAGGCCCATGTGCTCAGATTCGGGTACACGTTAAAGAATTCCATGTGGTCGAAATTTCCGGAGCCCTCCCCCTACGACGTCTCTTGTAATCACATGGTGGTTTTGGGACGTTAAACCCCACAGATCAATCAATATAATTTATTTAATTGAACAGAGAAACCAACAAACTTGAGTATAAAAGAGGTTTCACTGGCATCTATTGTGCTGAAAAAATAAAGGTGTATAAACTATTTCTTGAAGGGGCCCTGCAACACTTTTTGAGCATAGTGAGAAAATGTTGCCGAAAGGTAGTATAGGCTCCCGACAACACCGAGTCAAATATTATAGCGCAGCACGCAGCCTTGAATTCACAATAAATTTTCAAAGTCAGCTAAAAATTGCTTTCTCTTCTCTAGACAAATCACGCAATAAGCCCAAGAGTCACTCGTAATAAGCCTATCTATCAGCCATTGGCTCATTTGAACATACCGCGCTCAGTCGTTACAGAGATCGCGGCGGGAGGCTGTCACTTGTCCACGCATGTGCGCGTGGTCACACTGAAAAAGCAACGTATTCAAAGCAAAAAAAAAAAAAAGAAAAAGTGCTCAAGGTCGCAAAGCATGCGTGACGTTTTTTTTGTTTGCCCCTACCATCCCTCCCTGCTTAGCTTCCAGCGCTTTCGTCAGGACGAGAGATGAAAGAATGTGATTGCCGCATGTGACATTTCTTTGTAACTCCGCGAGTACTAGATGGATTCTTAAAATTTTTGTGGCGAGTTTGTGATGCAGTACACTTTTCTAGTGAATTAATCCTATGGTTACTAAAACAGTGTTTCAGGGCCCCTTTTAGTGTATTCTTTCTCTCCTTTCTCTCTGCAGCCATGGGCACTGAAAACAGGCCTCCCACATTTGTTGCCTCACTGGCTGTTGGACGGGGTGAAGGGCTGTCAGCCCTCAACGCCACTGACCTTGCCCCTCGCCGTGCACCTTTCGTGGAAGAAGGTCGTGAGTTTAATGTATGGATGAATCCTCACAAATTTATGGGTTCCACTCGTACCCTGTTGCTGGCTAGCAACAGTGATGCCTGTGTTCCTGAGTTGGACTTGTTAGTAAGTCGAGCATGGACTGCAGGCCGAGGACATGTACGATGCATTTGTGCGAGTTGAACAAGCCATTTCTTGCTACAAACAACTGTCTCAATAACAAAGTCAGAAGTTGAGTCTGCTGGTACATGTGCAAACTCAACATGCTGAAAACTTGGCGAGGTGAAATAACAAAAATATGATCTCCAGCAGTCTTCCAGAAAATGTGTGAATACCATCAAAAGAAATCAACTTTCTTAGGTGGAAGAATATCATAAGGTAAGTTTCTTCTTCATTTAACTTTCTGCATTGGTTTTCTGGCAGTTTTTTATCATGTAGAGGTATCTCTCGTAACCACCCACTGAAAGTGCGCCAGTTCGCTGCTAGAATTAGCATTTTTAAATATTCATTTTTTTTCGCAATCAATAGAGCAGTGGAAAAAACTACGTCAAAAAATTGTAGCCGCGTCCAGAGAAACATTTACCATTGCGCTTCGTAGTCACTTTTTTTGGTAGCCTGATTTCACTTTCGTTTGTTCCTTCTAGCGGTCTACGGTTAAATTTGTTTGGTTTTTTTTTTGCTTTTTTGTCTTCTTTTTCTGATCTCTGCTGGCTTGCGTGTGTGTGTTTACACATATTTTGCTGTGTATTTTCCTTCACGTCAATTCTGCATTTTTCTTTCTTATTTTATTTATTGTTCTTAAATGGATTACTTTTTGTATATGTATTTTAAATGTTATCTCCCTCCTGCAATAATGCCCCATGTGGGATCCTGTAGGTATGGTAAATAAATAAATAAATAAATAGGAGCTAAGTTAGTTCTAGCCTCCTTTTGTATAGTACTCACTTCAACTATATAAAATATTAAAAAAATCACCTACCTTAAAAGCATTGTGTGGGGCTTTAGCAATAACACTTTTCTCCGTGAACATCTTGTCATTTGCTATTCAATGTCTCGTGTTTGCACCTTTAACTTGTTTCTTATGTACTAGCTCCTTAGTTAGGTGAAACCAGGTAGAGTCGTAAAGAGCATAAAATGTGTAAAAACATGTCACTACTATATCTTTTTTTTTTCTGAACATACTTAACCATCCTTTATTTTTTACTTGTATCTATAAATTATATTTAGTATCAAGCTATATAACCAAAGGTAAGTTTTCTACAGTTTCATGTTCCATTCGACACAAATTTCAGACATTCAGCTTATGGTTATAGTTGCAACATCACTTCAAAAAAAGTTTGGTGATGACTGCATAATGGTGTGATTTAGTAGTCTGAATGCATTATTTTTAAGGCAAAAGCCTGATACGTCACACAACCATAAAATGTCCAACAAAGTTGGTGGCAATAAAAATGGTTGTAAAAAAAGATAATAAATAGTGCAGGTGTGGCTCGAGGTGCAGAAGCTACATGCAGACTTGGCCTTAGTGAAAAGTAAGCAAGGCAATATAAAAGCGTCAAATACTTTTCTATAAAAGCAGTTGAATTTTAAAGTATGTAGATTCATCTGTAAACTTTTGTGTGCCCCTTCCAACACTTCCCATGTTTGTTTTAACATGCAGGGTGAGTAGTGACAGCAAAATGAAACTGAAAAAAATGCAAACGGACACACTAACGAGGGGCTAAAATTTTTTGCCTCTATTCGTCTTAGGATTAGAAGGGACCCTATGCATTCCACATGCCATGTGCTTTCTAGCACTGGTACACTTCCGTACCTTATTTCTTTTCGCTGTGTAACCAGTGTAACATTATCAGTTTGACTACTTGAGAAAAGCGTTGGTAATGTATTTTGTGTCCCTTTAGCGTAAATTCTGTTCTAAAAAGCCGTTAGTTATGCTTTTTTGACCTAGAATTTTGTGCATGATGTCTGCTTTTTTAGTAATGCCTTAGCAGCATGTGTAGACACTTGTTTCCCACCACAGCACCTAGAAGTGCACTTCGTTTCACATTCTAGAACTCTCTTCTACTCAACATTCTGTGCAAAAAAGGGAATGCAATGCCAGCAGTTAAAAAAAGTCGCATTGTTTTATTTCATGGTCTGATCTCATGCATTTGGCACCTGCTTTGAGTGGTCCACACTGGAGATGATTCTCAGAAGACTTCTCGTTCTACTAATGATTAAGGATAATTATTGAAGGGCAGTACCTTCTTTCATCAAATGCTGATGTTTGTGTGTTTAAAAAAGATGTTTCAAGTCAAGATTAATTTTGAAAGCAAGGTTTAGCCATTCATTTGGGAGCTATTGTGGTTATAGGTTGAATCGAAATTTCCTACACACACGGTACTAATTAACCTGCACTGAATACATCTTCTTCATACAGAATGCAGAATTGCCGTTGGAATGCTGGAATCGCCGTTATACTTTCATTCAGTAGAGTGTATAAGATGTACAGTGCTCACGAATTTAGACACTGCACTATAACCTCAAACTTAAAAACTGGTATGTGCAAGTACTAGAGATAACTGTGTCATGTTGCTGTGAAGCCAGCCACTTGAGGTTGGCTCTGATGCAAGTGCTAAGGTAAAAATTACACCAGATATGCCATCAACTGAAGACTAGAAACAAGAATTGTGCATTACGTAGTCTTCAGTTCTTTCATTTCAATTGGTGAACAAAGCACAGAATAGAAGCTGGGGATAATATTCTGCATATGTTCAAAATAGAGTGTAGACATTGATGGGCTTGTAGATGAGTTTTTCTTTTTTTTTTATTTCTCACAATGCACAAGTTTCCAATACAAATCTGCAAGGAATAAACCGTTTCACAAGATGAAGACACATTCATAAGTTGCTTGGTTAAAATATAAAAGGCACATCATATCTGTTTGTTCGTAGCATATGCAAAGCATACATCATTGAAAAAGAAATTCCACAACCATTTGTTTCTCTGCAGTGGTGCACAGCAGTTGACCTAAGCGGGCTGTTGGCGTTTTGTTTCCTAGTTATCTTGGTAGCATTTTTTTTTAATGTACTACAAATGTGAACTTAAGATGAGTCTTGAACTTTGCATTTTTCAAAGTGTCTGCCCTGTGTTCAGTCAACCATGTTACTTTATCCTGTCCATTGACTAACAACAGGAATCCACGTACAGCATAAATTGTGTCCTCCATTTTTCTTGATTTCTCTATTACTAAAACACTGTTGAGCACATTATGAAAACTCTAGAGGTTCTGTGACATTGACCTGTCACTCTGACATAAAATAGTATTTTCCTTTAGTGTACCCTAGAGTAAATTTTTGTATTCAAATAGAAAGATGTTTGTGTTCATAGTGGCACATAATTTTTTTTTTCTTTTTTTCAAGACTGCCTCAAATTCAAAAGTGAAGGAGCTTCCTAAAAACTTTAAGTTGTCATGCGACTGCTGTATGTTTAGTCTTTAATGCATTGATTTTCAGATTCTCCGTGCCTTATAAGCCAAAATCAAAGCATTCTGTGCATGTGCACGAATATTCATACTGTTAGCGACGGATCTATGAGCCATAAATATTATCTTAACCTCGATTTGTCTACTAAATTGTCTGATCATCAAAGGCAATAAATGTTGTACAGTTTTACAGCTCTTAAAGAAAAAGAGTTGTGTTTGTTTACTTTCCTAGTTTGCAGCCACGAAACAAGGGATACTCTCATAAAGCCATAAGTGTGACTTTTTATCCTCGTAAGTTCTTTCCTTAGTGTCTAACATTACAAACCATAACATACCTAATATTGTGCTCTGAATGAGCACTGTTTTGTCCACAAGTATGAAATAAGGGAGGCTACCTTGGTCCCTGAAAAAATGTACCAAACAGAGTGATAATTTAGGGCATTACAATGGCACATCTTCAGCTGTGTAGCCTGCTCTCCAAATTGTTCCCAGTAGCTATGGTGTAACGTTACGTTTTCATGGCTTCATATGAGCAATTGACCACCCTTCCCTGGGTTCATACAGTTACTTCAGCTCCTCTTGTTTCATGGTCACTTCACTGACTGCCTGTAAAATTGGCTGACTAGAAAAGGTAGCATCGCTCACACTTTGTCTTCTTGGTTTCATGCTGTCATTTTATATCTTCTTGTGCATTTGCTATGATTCGTTCAAAATTTTTTAGGCAAACGATTCATACTCTTTTAATCATCAAAATAAAATGTATATACACACGACTTATTTACAAAAATGTTGTATATATTGTAATAAATGAAACTAAATGTACACACACGTATAAAAAGTGCCTAAAACAACACACATTTTTGGATGTGCATAACATATCTGACAATGCAGAATAAACAAGATATATCCTAAAAGCGTGTAGCAAGAAGGCCAAGCAGTCCAGTAACAGCACGAGTGAGGCACCCTTATTTTGAAGCTGTGGTAGTTAATGCGTTAATTTTTAAAAGTTTGGTGAAACAATCATTAAAGAAGGCTTCGTAGTGCTCGTGCCGACGATCTAAGATGTCACAACACGAATACACCATTGCCTATGTTCAGTTAATCTAGAAGATATAAAATATCATTTTTGGCAGCCAAGCACGTAGGATACACTGCACTGACCATATTGACATATCACCAAAACAGTTTTTCTACTAGTTTCACACATGGCGCAAAAGTTTAGGACGGGTAGCAATTGCAAGGCATAAAGCACTGAGGCACTGCAGCATTGTGAAATGGCACCATACAGGAGATGCATCTATTATTCTATTTTGCAAGCACAACAGTGGAATGCAAACACCATAAATGTTGGCTAACACGCATGTAGTACTTCGGCATCTTGTGCATCGTGCACTTTCGCAAATAAACTCAAAACAAGGTTAGAGGAAAGAGGCCATTTAGTAGACATTAAAAGTGCTTGCACAAAACACATTGATGTTTGGTGTGCTTGCTTCTCATGACCATATCCCATGAAGTTTTGCATAAATGAAGCAGCTGGGGCCACTTGAATGGTTCCTCTACCACCCCTCTTGGTTGGTAAAAAAATTCATACAGCGGAAAGCAGATGCTGCTGTAAACAGCTCAGTCAAATCTTGCAGCCGTGTATGGCAAGAAGCGTTTGTTTGTGAGCAGAGCACAAAGTTGACCCTTTCTCAAGTGCCCTCTCTTCTTACAGAGGCCCATGCTCTCTCTTGGAGGGCTTGTTGCCATGGGGTGGCATCACTTGCCGGGCACCAGGCTCTACAGTGCGCTAAAATTACACATTAGCAACACTAGTGTGCATCAGAATCGCATAATAAGTGAGTGATCACATGTAAAAATGCACACGACATAGTAGCTTTTCCCTCCCTTATCATCCCGCCCTGCCTAGCCTTCAGATTGCTCATCAAGATAAAAAAAAGAGAGAAAGCACTTAAAGGGTCCAACCAATCCCTGCATCTCCACTTACACTTGATAGATCTGAAAAAAATTTTTTAATGTTCAATTTGTGAGGCAATAAACTTTGATAATGAGGTCAACTGATCATTTACTTGGAAAAGTGCTTCAGGGTCTTGTTAGAAGGCAGTCCATCCTGAGACAGCATCGGTAGTGTATGAATTACCTCCATAGCTCTATTATGAGGTTGGTTTTTATCTTTGAAGTGGTAGATGTGTTTTCACTAACTACACTAGAGTGCTTGTGTGTAGTATCAAGGAGCAAGCTTCTACCAGAATGTGTTTGGAGTCTCATGTGTTGTGATATCTAGACAGTTAATGTGCGTTGCAGGACAATCTTAGGACAGTCATTACAAGCACATTGCACCCATTAAGTATCCTAGTCCAGGTAAATGAGCAAAGGTTCAGTGCTGGTGCATTTTCTAAAAGCGAACATGTTAAAAATAGGACAAGATTATGAGTGATGGTGCACAGAAAGGTGCACTTATTGTTGTGGTGTGTGCTAACTAGGTCACCTTAATCATATTATCTCTTCAAGTAGCCCTAACTAGCTCATCTAATATTGTCGCTGATTGTGTTTACATATTTCAGCACTATTCAGTTTGCACCACAGGCAAAATTTTTCTTGGGACATTTCTGGCCTTTCAATATTATATATCTGAAAAATATTGACCTTTTATCACAGAGGTACCGCACTGTACCTCATATCAGTATGAGTTTTTACATTGTTTATGCTTAGATGCATTAAGGTGAATGTAGAACATTCAGCTGTCTTTCTCTGTATGAAATGGCACATACGAGCTTTCCACAACTGCGTGTCTAGTGGTCTGCATTTGATATCAAATATGTAAAAATAAGTTGCTCCTATTAATGATCTGTATTTGAACAGTTTAACTGTAGTAGTGTCACACAATTGAGCCTAAAAACGTTTCGGCGTCATCCTACTGGACTGTCAATTACAAAAACAAGTTTCCGTTTTAGCCATTGAATATTTCCGAAAAGGCCCGTTTTCGTTTAGTTGCATTTCTGTTCAAAGAGCATGATGTCCAACTTGAAGGCGTTCATCGTAATCATGAGCATTTTGTTGTAACTTAGGATAACTGCATAGTGCTAACACTGGCTCTTGCAGTATTCCTGAGTTGACAACGTTGTGTCCATCGTTCATCCCAACTGTTGCATGTTATAATTTACCATGTCTACTCAAAAGTATTTTCTGCAGTTTATGTGCAAAATAGTAGCTTTACATATTATAAAAAGCAATATTGATTACCAAAATACATGAAAAAGCATCACATCAGTAGACATGAAAAGATTGAAAAACACAGCTGAATGAAATAAATAATGCAAATGGCACACATTTCTTATATCACACTGGAAACAACGCACTTGGAACGTCTCGTAGCACAAAAGTGCATCGCAACAGGCATTTACAGCCGCCGCACTCCTGATGATGCTATCTTGAAGCAAAGGCACACTGAAACAATGACGATGAATTCTAAGAAGTAATTAAACTATCTAAACGGCTTCATTCAAAATGTGACCTACATTTGGCTAGGAGCTGTGGTGCTCATAAAGACAAAGATCTATTTTACTTTATTCATTCAGGGCTTAGGGGCACTCATGAGACCGTACTCTCGTGCTTGACATTTTCTCATCTGGCTTAGATTATATCAAGATGGTTGCAATACTTCCTTTTTTAATTTCCCAGACCTTCTGCTAGAGTGAGAATGGTGAAGCAAATGGTAATGAGTATTTGATGCACACACACTGAATATACTAGTCTACCAATTACATCAGTGGAGATAGACGAAAATTTTTACTCTCCTGTGTAGAGGGCAGGCACATTGTCGATGTGTGCATTGTTTAGTGGCAGTCTTTAATGAGGTAGCCCTTATAAGAAACGGGAAGTCATTAAGATTCGCTCCAGTGCTTTTGCATCAAGAACAGAGTAGGCAATCGCAGGCTCATCACACAAGTACCTTGCATATGAAAATGCATCGTGTGTATATTGTGAGGTGCCAGCTGTGTAAGCCTTGTTTTATCAATTTTTGTCGCTACTGATATAGCATCTTCTACAAGATTTTGTAGAGTATTTGACAAGGATTCGCAAACATTCCGTACGTGCATACACTCTTAGTTGGATTTTTTTTTCTCTCAGCTGGTGCAACTGTAACAGTTAAACGAATTCTAAGCCCTTCACGAAAATTGAGTACAGATGATCAAGAGTTCCTTTGCCCAGCTGGAAACCACTTGCACAAAAGAATCAAGTAGAGCTAGCAGCTGTACCTGTGCATATTTGCTTTCACCATGGCTGCAGCCAGCACCTACACCAGAAGAATGCTGACACACTACCCTCATTGTCCACCATGTCAAGAGGGTGCCATTAGTTATATCCAGACCCTTATAACTAGTGGTCATGATCAAGATCTTTGCCCAAGGGCCAATGTGAGGGCAGTAACGAGTATAAGAAGAGGGGTTGAGACCAGTGTAAACACCGCATTGCTGCTCAGGGCACTGTGCTCATCTGCATAAGAGGCCTTGGCCACGGGACAGCCAAACCACTCGCCGACGTGTTGCGTCCTGTTGTATATGTGCATGCGACGGTCATTGAACCGCCAGAACTTCTGTCCCTTGAAGAAGTATGTCTGGCCTGCGTGGAGATATGCTAGCATTACCTACACAGTTACAATAAATTACAAGCAGACCCATGATTACCTTCACAAGCCTAAATTTCTCCATCACCCAGCAGAAGACAAGTCAATGTGTTGAAAAATTTCTGAATGTAGGGTGTCACTTGAGCCGACGTTTCAACAAACAGACTCGAAACATCGACTCCAGTAACACAACGTTGGCTCCAGCGACCCCTTATGTTTACAAACTTTTCATCTCTCCAGGCTTCTATCTTGCCCTAAACTTCTATTTTAATCAACCGTGTTGTCATACAATGGAAACTGGGGATTTCTGTAAATATTAGTTACATCAATCTGCCACATTAAGCATAATTGAATTTCACTGTGGCAAGTGATGAAGTACCACATGCTTTCTTTTCTGTAGAAGAACTTGAGCACAATAAAAGTACAACAGCTAACCCTGATGTATTCTACTAACATTAACATTTGAATGTATGGAGTTCACAGCTAAGGCAACTGTTAGAGTGAGCTCACCGTCAGTGTGCTGGAAAGCAGCATCGACGCCGTGTGGCACACCCCTCCACATGCGTATATGTCGTGGGTAGTCGAACTCGACGCTGCGGTCGAACTCGTCATAGCGCCAGTACTGGTCGCCGCTAAAGAAGTACGTCTTCCCGTTGTGTCCCCACACCATGGCTGCATCCACATGCGTCAAGCTGGCTGGGAGGCCTAAGTTGGTCAGTGGCCGAGGGTAGCCAGGCAAGGGACGGTTGCTGCTGAACAGCCAGTATTGGCGACCTGCGGGCGTGGCCAAGTGCATGCTTAGATTACTATGAAAAAACAATTATTCTTGTCTCACTTGTAGGCCTGAATGGTGCAAGCACTTTTCAAAGTAGCCATGATAAGAAGCGAGCAAATCTTGGTCCCTACGAATACTAGCTCAATTGGGGGTGGTGCTTGGTGGATTCAAGCATAGGTGAAAATACTAGTCTTACAAAAACTACGAAAACAAAATGTAGCTGCAGCGCCTTATCTAAGAAGTTCCCGTTTTAGATGGTGAGCACATACTTGGTAATGGTTAACAGATCCTTGATTAGCTATAATTACATTGTCACTAACGAAGTTTTCGTACATAGATTCTTTAAAATCCATGACTTCAAGTGTTGGAAAAGAAAAAAAAAAGGACCTCATTTGTTTTTGCTAGTGACTGAACTCGGGGGAATAGTGAATAAAATTAGTGATGCTGGTGCAAAATGGAAAGACCCTTTCTTTTACTTATCATGTTAATGCTTTTAGTACATAATAATGGCACTGGATTATGAGAATATGAATGAGAAAATATGCTAATTGCATCTTTATTACTATATTGGGGGAGGGGGTTGGCTAAAAGTTTATCAGAAGCTTCTTGTGATGCAGTGTCATGACCGCCGTGATACGTCTTTGATATGATGCATTTGCTCCGATTAGCTTCCAATCCACCAGGGTTGCCATTGATGGCTACTTTGCACCAAATTGACAACTTTCTGACCCCGTGCTGCGACGAAAATTTCAGGTTGGCATGCCGTGGCTACTTTTCGGCTACTTTCAACTCCTATTTTGGCACATTTACTGGCCATTTCTCTGTATTGGTTATAGATAAAACAGAAAGTAAGCATAAAGAGTAATCATTATTTGAAAGCCTTTCTGTCATGTAGGCCTCTGCATGCATAAGTCCTTACCCCACCAGTGGGCTAGTGCGCATAAGAGGCACTCAAGGAGCATCCCTCTGTCTTAGTGGAAGGCACACATACATGTCAAGAAACACATGGTTATGTAGCACAGTGCCAACGTCAGGTTCTCATGCTGCGCATCTGCACAGCATTTCAAAGAAGCAGGACTGCTCATCTGTGATGAGACTTCTCTACTTGAAGCTGGACTAGCATTGTTGTAACTTTATACCAATTGTGGTATATGACTTCAAGAACAAAAAGAAACAGTTCACCTTTTAACGTTCCTGCTGAGTTGTTAAGTTAAAAAATACTTTTTCAAAAATGCTATCTATCGTACACAGACTGTATGCAGGCACACTGAAAGTATAATAAGTTGTTCATTTGTTTGCAACTTATTGTGGCTTGGAGACCAAGCAAGACAGGAAAATGTCGTGCTCGTTATATTCCGTTCTAGCTTATTCAAAATTATATTATTTACTGTTGAATACTAACGGGAGCTGTATTTAAATTTTATGGGGTGCTGTTCTTCCAAATGCAAAAAAAGTTTTTTCATATTTGTAAAGTAAGCTTTGCCGCACAATGGGTTCTGGAGTGGTGAAGCAAGCTTGCCGGGCCTGAGCTGACTCGTATTTGGAAGCGGTACTGAAGTGAAACATTCAATCGCTCTATACTGGTAAATTGTTCTTTCATAACTGAGTTCTCGTTAATTTTACCGCCATAGGTTAAATATTATCAGAGTAAATGAAGGTCAAAGTTTAATGTTGGAATTTCGCCTTTACATGCAATGCAATGAGACTGCCAAAAGGGCACGCAAGCGGAGGGCGAAAGAGGGTTGCTGATACGTATTTTCGCACTCCGCTTGCATCCGGCAAGTGTTCCGGCTGGTTGTGGTGCGGCTGTTTGGATAGCACCTGTACAGGCCCAAACCGACTTTATAGCTGGAGCAGCGGTATTCTCATTCTCTAGCGTTATCTACTTACGCGAGATTGCATCCAAAAGAATTAGCTGTCACTTCGCACAATATTGCGATTTGTTGCTACTGCATTCATTGCCACGCCCTTGTGGAGACGCTTTTTCTATTGCGAAAGCAATTATATGGACACTCTCGGCTGTTTTTTTTTTGTCGCCGCTGTCGCCGTCATACAACGTATATATGTATGCGTACCTACATATATCAACACTCAAGAAAGAAAGAAAAAACGCCCACGCTCGGCGCCCAGCTCCTAGCGATGCGACGACGTGCGCTCATCTTTCACGCGTACTTCACCCCGCAAGGGGGGGGGGGGGGGGGGGGGGTAGATGCTTGTGCGCGCTCGCTTATCCTTTGGTGGGGAGAATCACGTGCCTTCAGCTTTCACCGGAGCAATTTTGTTAGTTGCAGGGCCCACAAAGGTCACTTCGGTCACTGCACAAGCCCTGTTTGCGAAAAGAGCGCGCTTTTCATACACAGCCAGGTATAACAAGTGGTGAAGTTGTTAGTTTTCGCTCCACTGTACCTCTGATTATATTTCGTGCGTTGTTTTTGTTTAAACAGTGCGTTACTTATAGAGCGGTAAACGCTGTTTGTTCGCTCTCGTCCTGGGTTTGTTGTTTTCGTGCATAATTTTTGCGTGACCAACGCGCTGCACGTCTTGATCTGCTTGCCTTTCTCAGTGTTACATTCCAAGTTGGTGCTATCGCATTCATTCCTTCGCCCTTGTGGCGAAACTGTCTTTTCTATATTCTAGCCACAGTAACTATCTATGACCTGATACTTGCTGTATTAACCTCTTATCTATTTCAAGACATTCCTTTTGCTGACTAACAGTTCTGCATGCACTAGCCAACGCTATCAAGAAATATATGACGTCACCGCTACTTCTTACGGAAGCTTCAAAGAAACGGTGCCAGTTTTTAATAATTTTTTTGCGAGTTTACTCGCTCTCTTGGCATCCTCTTTCAGCAAAATTGGGGCTCCTTTTGTTATGAAAGACTAATTTGCTAATCTAAAAAAATATTTCTCCTTATTGTCTGCTCAAAATCGTAGAATAGGAACACTTTTGCATGCTGCTGTCATTGGCATTAAGTCGCCATTCTGCTAATGAAACCCGAAACAAACGCTTGTTCATCGGCTGAAAGGCGTAACCACCGTGACGCCGCAGTGTGAAAAAAAGTGCAGTTGAAGGCAGCATGCTACGCAGAATGTCTGAAGATTGACGTCTTGAAAACAAAAATAATGTTTGCAGATTCTCGTTCGGCAAACATAATTGAAGCACTCTCTCGCAGTGTACGTTTTCAGCAGACTTCTGCAAATAGTAAATTCGAGGTGTTCGAAGTGAATAATGATTTAATGAATAGCTTCGAATCGAATTCGAACTCTCTCTCTCTCTCTCTCTCTCTCTCTCTGTGTGTGTGTGTGTGTGTGTGCGTGTGCGTGTGTGTGTGTGTGTGTGTGTGTGTGTGTGTGTGTTTAAATTGAAACAAGGCATGGGCAAATGTCATTCCTTTTGTTTCCAAAAAGTGGAAATAACTGTTTACAGTGGCAGTTTTTTACAGTTTTTATTTCACTTTCGGTAGAATGCAAATGATAACTTGCAAAATACGCTACGTCTCAAAATTTACTATGCCTAACAAGCTTTTGAACTTTAAAGAAACACAAATCGACGTCAAATCAATATGTTCATTTAACCTGAAAGTGTGTCTTCGCTGCAGTGTGGATTTTTTTTTTTTTTGAATATGTATTCACAATATAACAATTATTTATAGCAGTGAAACCACCTTTGCAGGGTGTGCATGCGGACTAATGTATACACTTTTTTGTTCATTTCGAATGTAGTCTCCCTCGAATACTTCAAAATTTCCAATAATTTAAGTTCAAATCTAAGCGAAAATATTTGCACAAGCCTAATTTTTGGCGATGTTGCAACCGGATGCGGCAGTCTGTAGGTGATATACCGTGGTATCCTCTAGCGGGTATTTTCAATTGTGCTTCAATATCAAACGATCGCTAGAAAAAACGTTCGCCCACTGTTGACAATAAAGTGTTGTGCAACATCCGTGTATGGGCGAGAACTTTTGTATCATGACTCGGTGCTCGGGGTATAGCTTTTTAGTGAGAGGAACGCAGTATTTGAAACAACAAACTAACGTATATTGCCCATAGACGTCCGTACTGTGCAGATGTCCGAGCATCGACACCTGCAGCTTCGTCTTTTGTAAATTTTTTCATCCTGACCGAAGCCGCGGAAACCGAACCTCCGCGTAATATATGCGACGGCTGCGAGGGAGCGTTTAATTTCTTGGCCTGTGGTGCCTCGGTCGTGCGTTTCGACGCGTGAGCCCCCGTTCGTTGCCTAATTAGGAAGTACGGCGGACGGAGCAGCAGTGGACGCCCAAAGCCGGATCATTTGAAATGAATCTTGCGAGGCAAAGCCACGGGGTGCGCCTATCATTGCGGCGGTTCCACACTGCAGCGCACAAAACGGGCGCGCAGTCGGTGCCAACGTACCTATGAAGAAGGCTATCTTTTGGTCGGGCCTCTCGTAGACGGCATCGATCTTCTCGAAGTTAGGAGGCAGGTCGAACCAGAAGAGACTGATCTCCACGGGGTAGCCTTCTTTGAGGCCCTGCTCGTTGATACGCCAGAAGTACTGCAACGGGACAGCACAACACAGACTTTCCTCAGGAATGACGAAGCACGTGGCTCAATTGGATCAATTCGTATTATTACATGCCCAAGCAGGAAGGGTAGTGCGTGCAATTTGGAACACTGTCTGCCTATCTGATTGAAATGGGAATAATAGGCGCGTATGGTTACTTTGTCGGGTGCGACCTTTCGATGGTGCTGCCGCGCCTTGCCTAAATGCTACTTGTGAGATTCTTCAGCGTGCTCTGAGTTGCATTATCACTAAGCACGACAGGAACACTTTCGGAGAATGCCACAATAACTCCTTCTTGGTTGAACAGGTGTTTACTTAACATGTCGTAGTACAACGACGTTCTAAAAAGAAGGGAAACAGGAGAGGAACGAAAGACGGGCGCTACACTCGCAAAAGTTGTGAGTAAGCGCAACGGCAATATTTTAAATTTCAGAGTCTACGTTTGAGCCTTCTGCGTTTAAGGCCGGAAGTAGAGCAGTGGACGAGATTTCTCTTATTTCGAACTCGGGTGGATGATCCTCAAAAGCTGGTCAATCGACACCGCTAGTTTATCTCCGGACGTGCGGCTTGCAAAGCAGTCCGAGAGGTGAGCGTGCCTATACCTTTCCTTTGAAGACGAACAGCTCGCGTCGAATGACGGCGATGGCGTCGATGGAAGTACTGCAGCCGTCGGGTTTCCCGTCGTCCACCGGCGTCTGCGGCGGAGGCTGCTGGGGTGGCCTTGGCGCCGGTGGCTGCTGGGGCTGACCTCCTCGGGGCTGTCCTCCCCGGGGCTGTCCTCCTCCGCCGCCAGCGACCGGCTGTCGTCCATGTGGCCCCCGTCCCGCTGGGGACGGAGTCGTCGTCCGCGGGATGATGGGCTGCATGGACGCCCATTTGGTCGGGTACTTGGCACCTGCACAGGGCGAGAGCTGAGGCACCCCGAATATAGTACCCTATCCATAATTGTAAAGCTAGCTCTTCCTGAGATGCAGTTAGCCCAACTAACGGCTCCTGTACTCACTTCTGCAAGCAGCATGTTTCAGTGCAGTATGTTTGCCCCTACGACGTGGAAAACGTATACTAAGCTCTTTTGGTGAATGCATGCATAACAGCAACTGGAACCTCGTCTCCAGTTGAATCACGACAGGTGCTGCCATTAGTTGGACAAATGTGCAGCGCAGCGAAGCGCCCTTGCGAACTAGTAAAAGGGTCTATGAGTAAATGCTGCCCGCGATCGACGGCCGCAAAGACGCGAGACGATGTTAGATTAGTTGTTTGGACCGTGGCCACACTTTGACAATCAAAGACGTGTAGTGAGCGTTCGCGTTCCTAGTGATATATATGGGAAGGATGCGCTAGCCTCTTCTTTCTGCGGAGCGAATATAGCATCGCCTTTCCGTTCGGGGTCGTCTGTGGGTGCGCTTATCTCCTAAGCGCGAGTGAACAGGAGGGAGGGGGGTGGGGCTTATGGTTGCCGCGCTATCGCGGCAACGATCAACGCGCGGCTCTTGCCCCCCCCCCCTCCCCCACAGCAGGCGGGAGCTTCTACGGGATGCGCTATCAACACGGAAAAAAAACGGCGCGAAAAGTGTACCTGGAGCAACCGTCTACATATAGATACTTCTACACATAACAAACTGCCACCAGCGGCGACACACGACGTATGGCCCTTAGTACCAGCATACGCTGCTCTCCGGAGGCGCTTCTCATCAACGCCGTCAATACGCACAAGCCTTGTGGTCATCTACTGTGGCCGCGCCGCAGTAAACTGGGTACTTAGCAAGCGCATGTTTACTGCGATTAATATTGCTCCTGAAATGCCAGCCCTGCTTCGTAAAACATTCGAATACGTTGCTATCGCATTCATTGATTCGTCCTTTTGGCGAAACCGTGACTTTTTTAATGTGTGCAAGTCTAACGAGCTGTTTGTAATTGACGTTATTGCATCTCGTCATATGTGGTTAATGAAGATATTTCCCAGTCATTTTATATGTCTGTGTGTTTTCAATATAATTATGTTGATAGGATAACTGGCTCTAATGTAGCCGACCTTCCCTTGTTTTTTATTCTGAATAAATAATAATAATAATTAATAATAATGTAACTGGACGTGAATGAACGCAGACCGACTTTTCACGTGGTTTTGCGCTTCTACCAGCGTATAAAAGGCTGCAGATAACAAGCTAGTTGAACACACGGCCTTTGACCGAGCAACATCGAGTGCACTAACGAATGATTTTTCGGCGCACCAGTCAGTCAGTCAGTTAGTCGAAGAACTTTTCGCTATCCTGAAGGACGGATTCTTATACCGTTTTTACTGGGTTAGATTCGCACCGCTTTATGCGACCGGTTGAAAGGTTAGCTGAGACATTGCGTATCGTGCACGACTCACAGCTTTGAAATAGGCACGATGACACGACAACTGAAATACGTCGGAAATGCGCCGACTTTCCTTTTGGCGAGGACGAACAGACAGTATCCGAAGTATAGGTGGAGGAAGTGTGCTCTGTTTCTTAAAAGGTAGCGAGCAAGAAAAGCAAAAAATAAAAATAAGATCACGAGATGATGGCTTCTCAGTCGGCCGTCGCAGCGGTTCCCGGTAAAGTACGTCGCATTAAAAAGTTAAATAACCATAGATAACAGGAAATGGGACGCCTTTTATTGTACCCTGAGTATAGTATATAGACTGTCTGTGGTTCCTTCATAGCTTTGTAGCTTTCCGGCGCAGTTTGTTTCAGCATAAAATGTCTACATAACTAACAAACAGTGAATGACATGCGCAGTTCCTTTTCCTCATTTCCTGTTGGCCGCCTCGCAACCAATTTCCGGAGGTGCATGTTTGTGGAAATAATGCGGAATGGGCGGAGAAGCGATCGAAGCTATATACTCATCCGGTTTCGGCGCACAACGCGCCGCGGCTGGCCACAATGTCTGCATGCATACCCCAATACGCAGAACGCCTCGGACGCGCTCGTGCAACTATACAAATGAGGGCTGAGACGATTCGTGGCACCTTCCGTAGGTGCAACGTTCACCAAGACGCTGATTGCCTTCCCCGCTTCCATGTGAAATTTCCGGCCCGTCGGCTGAGGTCTACACGGGTGCCTACATCTTGTCTCTTTTCAGCTGGCAAATGAATTTTTTTTTTGTGCTTCACTTGCAAGTCCCAGCGAGCGCAGATACGTTTTAAGAGGACCCTGTAACGGTTTTCTAAGTAACGATTGAATGGTTTCATTAAGTTACAGAATTGTCTCGCGCTGTAATCGCTTTTCTTTTCTTTTTTTCGAAGCTAGCAGAGAGGGAAGGCAAGAGAAAAGAAGTTACGTCACGTAGGCATTATGACCTTGAGCACTTTTATTTTCCTTTTTTTTCTCTTCGAGCCTGCGGCTTACTTTCAGTGTAATAGCGAGCGAGCGTGGGTACGTGGCGGCGGCCACGGTTACTATGCAGCTCACTACGTGGCCTCCGAGATCAGCCTTCGGCGCAATCTCGGAGGCCATGCTCGCGATTTCAAATCAGTGAGTGACCGTGAATTTGCGTATATGGCGTGGCCATTTAGACATATCGGTATCATTTGTTGAAAGAAAAGGGGATGATTTCCAGCTAAGCTTGAGAATAAATTGCAATTCCAGGTCGCGTGCATGCTGCGCTATAGATAATGTTTCGCTCGCGTGTTCTCAGGAACCTAGACTATGCTGAAAGAGCGTTGCAGGGTCCCTTTAAAGACACGTCATGATGATGACAATGCTCAGTTGTGGTGGGGTGCAACACAGTTTGAAAGACGTAATTATTCCAACGAGAAAAGTGATAATTTAGAGGAAGAAAATATGCCGCGAAATACAGGCAAGTTAAAGTAACCAAAATATTGTTGGGGGAGACGAATAAAAAAGTAACAATAAATTATCTTTCTCCTCTCTTTTATACATTGGTTGTGAAACATCAGAAATGTTCCTCGCAATAGGCCAGTGATCCCGCAACGTTTAATGAAAAACGAAGAGTTATTCAAGCTACAAGACTGTCTCAACAAGTTCGTGGTGAAACTACGAAACTCTACTGAAACGATCCCCAAAAAGCGGGGAGAAACATAGCGAAAGTAAATAATAAATAGAGGAGCGATCATGAAAGCAACACGGTCATGAATACTAGTTTCTTAATCTAACGTTTAGCTGCGTGGCCTAACTAGCAGTAAAAAGCTGTTGTGAAGCCGATATTTGCGGTCAAGCCTCCCTTCGCGGTATAACGCCACGGTGTATATAATCTTTAAAGAATTGCGATACAGCAGTGTAGTTAATGCCTCCCTTTAGACGAAGAGCCTTTAAGACGAACCAAGGCGGGCATCTGTTAGTTTGACCTTCAACTTAAAATAGCGACATATCAGTCGGTCAGCTTTGCGGGCCCCGCCCAATTGAGTCCCGAAAACCATGGTTCTCCGCCAGTTCGCGGTTTCTTCGGACAGCCGTTAGTTCTTCCTGGTGATCCCCGCTTCTGGGGGCTTGTAAATATGTCCATAACGTTAATTTTAATATGTAAGCATTGATCACATTACAGCTTCAGCCTGTTCATGCCTTTGTTGTGTACTGGGGCATACATAATTGCGTTGGTAGCATGTCGTCTCATTGTACTCTGTCATTTTTACTCGGAAGATACCTGAACTATACATACGTATGTGTTTACGTAAACAGGAGCTCAACATTCACTGCAGTTACCTATACTGTACGGACTTTCAGGCAATACTTTATATGCATGGTTCTCTATAGAAGGCAACTGTCAGTGCACATGGTATAGCCGACTTAGCATAGTGTGACTTCGTACTCACGACGTATTGTGAATAAACAATACGCATGCGAACGCAAGCATGGGGTCGAGCACACGGGAACATACCGTAGAGCCTCTGGATGCCCACTTTGTCGTCGTAAGGTAGCTGGAAGTCCTCCTTGACTCCCTGGTAGTAGGGGTACATCAGTGACCCGGGAACCGACGAGTGGGACAGACCCAGCGAGTGGCCGAATTCGTGCGCCGCCACAGCGAACAGGCTCACCTCTGCATACAAAAAATGAAAGGGCGAAAGGCTTACAAACACCTCGGGCTGAGTATATATGTGGCTTTAATTGTGCATCCCTAATTACACCCTATGTACTTGTATTAATCAGAGTGCCTGGCGAAGACAAGTACCTTTGTCGATGCGTTGGCTCCGGTGTCATCGCCTGCTTCTACGATTTCTCGTAACGTCAAGCGTCCATCATCACCTGAACTTAATTGTGTCTCCTTCTATTGGCCAACAGCTCACCACGTTACCAGCGCACAGGCTGTACAGAGGTTCCCTCACTTCCCATATCTTCTGGTTCATTGTACCTATATACTGAGAAATAAACCGATTCAAACAGGTTAGCGACGGTTGCTTTGTCTATCATACAGTGCAATGTGTTCCAAGAGCGGCAGCATTATTAAGGCGAAAACCTTAGGCGTCTCATCATACGCAAAACTTGACCGGACGCTTAAACACGAGTGATGACATATCATCAACTGGTGACGCCATCATAATGCCTCATGATGACGTCATGGCATGACAGCGTCGCTTGGCCAAAAGTGAGCCGATCACAGAGGCTGTGCAAAACAAGGTGGGGGGGGGGGGGGGCAGAAGCTAGCAATGCTTCCATTTCTGGAGGCAGTGGTAAACCACGTGAGTGCAGCACTATCTCGGAGTGGGGCGCGGGAGACTAATTACATCGACTGAGAAGAAGAAAAAAAGGTGGCGTTGCCTTCGAGCCGTCTTAGGTGGATGCACAAGATGCACCGCAGTAAGAAACTTTCACGTGATTGACCCCCCTTGCAAGTTTAGCCAAAGGTGCCCGGATGCCGCATCGGGATTAGTGCGTGTGGTGCATCGAATTGTGTGGTCACGACACAATTGCCTGATTCGCAGGCGAGGTGTGGGCCTTAGCATGAAAAACACGGACGCCTCTAAGCGGACAGGCTAAGGCGGCCCGAGAACTCGCCGTGGAGGAGAAGCTTTCCCGCGCAACAACGAAAAAAAAAAAAATCCAGCGCGTATAGCGTTCAACAGCGGCCGCTACTGCTGGAAACCTGCCGATCGAAGAGTCCTCTCTCCTCATCGCGGCGTCGACGTCGCCCAGAGAAATGCACTCCTGCGGCACACGTCGCCGCCTTGGCTTTCGACCGCTCCATTCTCCCCACGGCGCCGATTGGGCGGACGCTTCCCTTGCTTCCCCTCTTTCTTCCCCTACATCTTCCCTTTTTTTTTTTTCCTGCCGAGAAAAACCGAGTTTCTGGCGTCGTCAAATAAGGCCCGCTCGGGCTCTGAGGCCATTGAGAACAGCTGACGCGGAGGTGGCAGCAGCGGTGGCAAGCAGCGGGGTCCACTACTGTGTCGAGCCCTCTGTACCCGAGCGAAGAGTCCGAAAAGGTCTCGTTTTGGGCGGCCCTTTCGCAGGGCACGTATTCCTCGCGCAAACTTGGCGAGAAAAACGACCTGGAGGAACGTCGGGCGCAATCAATTCAGGCAAACAAAAAAGTTATGCCCCAGAATTGAAGCCCGGCTCCGGCGTCGTCTACGCCTGAGCGGATCCTGTTGTCACGGCTGTTTAGAGACATTACTGAGATCTCTTGACCGTTGTCCCACCCGTTTCTCGGACCTTCCCTACCGACTCTAAATTCGGGTCAGTGTTTGCTGCTGTATACGTTGGGCCTTTAGTGTTTGCGCAACCTTTTACGATTCGCACATTTTTTTTTTTTCTGGCCTCGACAAATCATCTTTTCCTGCGTGCTTCGCCCATCGCTCAGTGTTTTCACTCATCCTTGTCCTGTCCTTTTCTTTTAATTTTATTTTTGTTGTGGTTTCCAAAAAGGTCGCAACAAATCAATACTTCACATCGAACCACGGATCAGTAGTTGCGAAGAACCGTACTTGCGGATAGAAATGAATTCGCAGTACGAGGAACCAGCTGGTTTTCCGCTAGCCGGACCCTCTGTCACATAAAACGTGTCAGTGCTCGCCTCGGCGGTAACTTTGCGGGCAGAACTTTTACTCCAACGTGTTTCTGGCTACTTGCCAGAAAGGATGAGAAAAGCAAAAAGTGCTCAGAAGTTTACCGCGGTGTAAAACACTGGATTAGGCGGCGGCAGGACGTAGCGTAGTTAGGATCACAAAGTAGGCAGGAGTTTCATTTGTAAAAAAAAAAATATTAACAAGATTTTTGGGCAATATTTTTTATAAAACTACGAACAAATTGGTTTACAGCTTTGTTGGTGATATTTTACCTGACCTTTATTCAATTTTCAAGGGCGACGTTCGCTTTTTTGTTTTTACGTCCTTACGCATTCTAAATGTTTATAGAGCAGCAAACCAAATATAAAGTATAGGTTTTTAAAAATCATTTCAATTATCTGTCGGTATATCGAAGTCTGCAAGCCGACCGTGTAATGCGAACCGTGGACTCGCAGTGACATGCATGTTAGAAAAAGAAACGTAGACTTAGGCTATACTACATACCTTTGGCCAGTGTAGCGTAGCTAGAATTTTCGAAGGAGTGGGCATTAAACCATACTTTGTGTGTGCTCGTGTGTGTGTTTGTGTGTGCGCGTGTTATAAATACGCAAGCAAAATTGAAAACTTCAAGAAAAAATTTACCCCCCCTCTTCTGCAGGCTCTACGTCCATGCTTCCAGTATATTCTGGACGTCGCACGCAACAAGCAGTTCGGAATACCACCGAGAACGACCTCGTTACGGTCGCTTTGTTGTGATTGCCGGTGATCGCCAAGCTTACAACGTTCGTTGGCTCTTCTCAACGCGCAGCGCCGAATCTGGGACCGAATCCACTGTACTCCTTTCTCGCAAGTGAGTTTTTAGGTTGTTTTATCAGCATTCGTTATGAAACAAATGCCAAGACAGGCGCAAAAAAAGCCGCTTGGCATAGCGGCTTGACAAAGCGACTAGACAAAGGCCACTACCCTTACAGAACTTGGCAGTAGACAGGCAACACACGCACACAAAGAATGCGATGCATTGGTATAAAGATTATCTATATAAAAAAACATCATGAAAAGAACGATGGCATGTGTTTTGAAAATTTACAGAACAATTTTTTTTCGTTTCTTACATAGAAGGCGTGCTTTTTTGCGAACAGTACACAACTTCTCTGAACACAATCGTAAACATATGTAGCATGGTGAAACCATATATATTATATTTTCAGTTACAAAAGGATGACTTTCACACACAACCAAAATAAAAGATGTACAATACCTAAGACACAAAGAAGAAAAGCAAACACACATATGACTTACAATTACATATACATATAGCCGCACGGCTAAGAAAGTACTGCTTTAGCATCCAACGCGAAGTGATATTTCCATCCGTCATCCTGCTTCGCTAATCATATGTCCTGTATCGTGATTTGCTGAAATATTCTTTTTAAAACAATTGCCTTACGTAACGTTCGATGGAGCCACGTTGATAACACAGGGATCAAGGAAGAGGATTAGATGCGCGCTGTTTTTGCAGCGATGTACCGAACCAACTCGCCCGAAAGTCTGGTATTTGCGGCGTAAGACGGTTATACGAACATGGGCTTAATTAACAAAACCTAACTTTCTTATCAACATTGTTTACCTAACATTGTTTGGTTAGTTGGTGATGCGGTCGTTCAAATATTGTACCGCTGCTTTATCGACGAGTGTGACAGCACAAGCGCTGTGCCGTCACGCGTTTCTCTGTCGTGTCCGTGATGTCAAAGGTGGCGCTGCAATACTTAACTAACAATGGGACGTGACGATATTATTAAAAAAAAACCTACCCAAAAGTTCGTAAACGGTCGCTTTTATACGGGCATTCCTGCTTGAATTAAGAGCACGAGTTAAGCTTCGTGGGAAATCTTGGTCGACTTTACAGAGCCGTGCTCATTCGAGCGAATGCAGGGCCCCCTCACTTCTTAAGCACGGGCTAAGCGCCGAAAGTGACGGGTCCCTTTCAAGTCTCAATGTTCGTGACGTCAAGATCTCTCTGCTGCTTCCATATCAGATGCGGCCTCGAAGGACTCGCATCGAGCCTGTAGCGCAGCGTCTTATCCCCGCTATACTGGTATATATATTACATGCATCGCATCCGCATGCGACTGGCATCCTTTTAAGCGAGTTTTGCTTGGCGTGAAAACGTGGCGCATACGAGATGCGCGGCGGACAGTCAGCGATCGCGAACAAGAGGCGCTCCCTTCGATGAATACATTATCGCGCAACAATAGGCCTCTCTGGCGCGAGCCAGATGGAGAGGAAAGATAAAAGAAAAATGCGAGCACCGCCGGCGAAAGAGCGGCGGGAAACGCGCCGAGCCACGAAATGTGTTTCTTGGAAAGTGAATCACGGCCTCCCTCCCCCTCGCGAAGTGCCACACTGCCTGACAAAATGTGCTGGCGCTGTGGCTTTCTCGTCGTCGTCGTCTGCTGATGCCACTTCCTAGCGCTCTTCAATCGATACGCCGCCACTTTTACTGCTCCTGCAGGCTTTCCTTAGGCTTCGCCGAGTAATGCGCCCGAGGCGCCTATACACTTGCCTATGGTGGGCCGGAATGTGCTCACGGGCTTCGTAAAATAAGCATCCCCTCCCCCTCTGACATCACTCGGCGAGGAAGCCTCTTTTGGAACTTTTGTTTCGCTCAGGCCGTCAAGCCTGCTACTTTTTTTAAAAGGCCGGTTGGTTTTTTTTTTGCTCTTCTCGCGCCTTGGACATGTGTCGAACAAGGTGGGATGATAAAAGATAAATAAATTTACTGTCGTGAGAAATATGAGCTCGAAGTCGCGAGCGCGTGGCAAATAAGCTCGAAACAGATACATAACGTGATACATGGATGGCGCTGCCGAATTCGGAGGGGAAACGAGGGGCGCTGTTCCACTGTCTGTTGGCACACCAGCTTCGCTAGCGTTGCGGGCGAACGGCAGATGGTTACACGCAATCTCCCGCTAGTTATGATAACGCGACGAAAAATGCACAAAGAACAAAGTAAGTGAAATACTAGTATAAAAAT